GATAGTGCCATCTCTCATTTTATCTTGAATGGAAAAACTCCTAGAATTCGAAAAGGCATATTACAAAAAAATAAGGAGTTGGGTGGATTAGCATTACCAAATTTCCTGTTTTGGTCTGCAAATATCCGCAACATGCTATTCTGGCAACTTTCTAATGCTGAACCTCCTGCTTGGTTAAGGATTGAGGAGGCTTCATGTGGCACTCCCTCACTCACTTCTCTTTTATGCCTACCCATGCCATTTTCACCATCACAGTACTAAAATACCAGTAGTAGTAAAAATATTATAGTTAAAAATTGTCTTAAGATCTGGGTTCAGCTATGACGTCACTTCAATTTACAGATCACACCTCTTCTATGTCCTGTTCACTCTAACCCTCTTTTTCCTCCCTCGCTTAATGATAAGGCTTTTGTAACATGGGTGAGATGTGGAATTGTTTCTATCACAGACCTCTACATTGATAATATTTTTGCATCATTTGAACAACTAACTCAAAAGTATAGTCTACCAAAGTCACAACTTTTCAGATATTTTCAGATTCGGGATTTTGTCCGTAAATACTTTCCCGGTTTCCCTACTATACCACCATCTACCCTGATCGATACCATCTCTAATATAAATCCCGGTCAAAATGGAGCCATCTCTAAAATATACAACTCCTTGCTCACATCTCATACTTCTACATCTGAAAATTTGTGTTTTATTTGGGCTAGGGATCTTAACATAGACATAAAAGAAGATATTTGGTCAACAATTTTACAAAAGGTCCAAACATCATCTGTATGTGCTCGCCATGGGATTCTACAGTGCAAAGTAGTTCACAGAGTTCACTGGTCTAAATGTACACTGGCTCGCATGTTCCCTGCTATTGATCCAACCTGTGACAAATGTCATGCTGAACCTGCAAATCTAGTTCACATGTTTTGGACCTGTCCAGCTTTGTTTTCTTTTTGGGAGTCTGTTTTCGATTCATTTTCAGCAATTACATCTATTAATATTGATCCTTCTCCGTTAATTGGCCTGTTTGGAGTTCTTCCCCCTGACTGTGAGTTACCATTTTATTTTTCTGAATTAATAGCTTTTCTGTCATTATTAGCTAGGCGGTGCATTTTGTTGCAGTGGAAGTCTCCTCAACCCCCATCCCATACTCAGTGGATTAAAGATGCCTTATTTTTTGTTAAATTAGAAAACATTAAACATAGTCTTCGAGGTTCAGTGGTCAAATTTTCTAATATTTGGTTGCCTTTTTTGGAACATGTCAAATCTCTGAGACTTGAGGCAATTACTGTGGAGTGAATGGGTGCCATTCTTGCATTTTTGTTTTGATCTGTGCTTCCAGTTGAGTATTAGTGCTGCTGATATAGCACGAATATACAACTTTTTCTTGACATAAAACCACAAGTTAAGAATGTGCCACCCCCCAGCCTATTTAGTTTAATACATTTTTCCTTTTTTTCTCGCTTTTTTTTATTTCTTTTCTATTTTTTTTCTGTTTGTTTATTTTATTTTATTTTGTTATTACTGTTTATTTTACTTAATACACCATGCTGTCAACCTCAACGTCTCGTACAGACCTGTTTATATGCTCAATTTGAAAATTGATTTATGCACATCATATAGTGTTTATGCATGTCATATACTGTGTGTCGCACAATATGAGGGTTATAGTGTGGTTTATTTATTTTTTTTTTTTTTTATCAATGTTGTACTGTTATATATATATTTTTTTTCTGTTTGTACTGTTATTGTCTCTTTTTACTTTGTCTGTTAACTGTCAAAAAAATCTAATAAACAAATCTTAAAAAAAAAAAGAAATGCCATCTGACCCAGTCGAGGCTTGAACCAGCGACCTTCTTGTTGTGAGGCAACAGCACTACCTACTGCACCACCGCGTTGCCAGGAAATAAATAAATTGAATCAGTTTTGGAATAAGGTCGCTGTTATAAAAAATGTGGAAAAAGTTAAGCGCTATGAATACTTTATGGATGCACTATATATATATATATATATATATATATATATATATATATATATATATATATATATATATATATATATATATATATATATATATGTCTCAGAGATCGGCTGCAGCTCGAATATGTATAGGGTTGCACCCTGTGACTGTTTTGGTACTTTTATCTCAGTTTTGGTCAATAAAACATCAATTTCAAAAGTATTTGAAAAACAGAGACAAATGAACTCTTCTCCAACAGAGCCCCCCACCCCACTGCACCATTTCTATACAACTTTTAATCTATTTTACATCATGTCATGATAAATACATACATACAATACAAGTAGATAAAAGTTCCATTATATGTTCACTCATCTATTGTACATATAAACACACACATCAAGTTCCAATAGGCTTAGCAAATGTAAAATAAAGAAATAAAATAATTTAGATAGAAATTAATATGAAATAAAATAAAATGAAGGGAAGTGGAAAAAAAGGCGAGAAACAAATAAACAATGGTCAAACTGAAAATATTAAGTTTGGATCCATTTGTTTTATATGTCAGCACTGGCTGCCAAATAAGATAAAATTTTTGACTGCAACCTTTGGTGGAGTACCGAATCTTCTCCATTGTAAGATGATACTTAAGGTCCCTAATTTAATGATTAAACGTTGGAGGAAATTTGTCTTTCCATTTGAGCAGTATAATACGTCTAGCAATTAATGTTGAAAAAGAAATCATACTTTTGGTATTATTGTCTTAACCGGATTTGTGATTAAACCAAATATTCCTACAGGGTAAGGGTCAATTGTTACATGCAAAACATTTGAAAAAAAAAATAAATAAAAAAAATAATAATTGCCAGAACTTGGTAATTTTAGAACATGACCAAAACATGTGTGTATGATTAGCTTTCTGTACATCACATCTATTACATAAGGGATTTATAGTTGGTGAAAATTTTGCTTATTTTGCTTTTGTCAAATGAAGGCGATGGACCACTTTAAACTGAATAATTGTATGTCGCAAACAAATGGAAGTTGAGTGAATCTTGTTTAGGGCGATGCAGTGGCGCAGTTGGTAGCGCTGTCCCATCACAGAAAGAAGGTCGCTGGTTCGAAGCTCGCCTCAGTTGGCATTTCTGTGTGGAGTTTGCATGTTCTCCCTGTGTTCGCTTGGGTTTCCTCCGGGTTCTCCGGTTTCCCCCACAGTCCAAAGACATGCGGTACCGGTACAGGTGAATTGGGTAGGCTAAATTGTCCGTAATGTATGAGTGTGTGTGTGTGTGTGGATGTTTCCCAGAGATGGGTTGCGGCTGGAAGGGCATCCGTGGTGTAAAAACGTGCTCTATAAGTTGGCGGCTCATTCCACTGTGGCGACCCCAGATTAATAAAGGGACCAAGCCGACGAGAAAATGAATGAATGAATGAATGAATGAATCTTATTTATAATGTCTTGTCAAATTTCCTCTGAGAGAATCAACTCAAGTTCATTTTCCCATTGTTGTTTCTACTTTGTAACTGAAGTTAGATTTTGTGAGGAGATAAAACAGTAATTCACACCTATATTACCTTTAAGAACAGGGTTGGTTTTTAAAATGGTGTCAAGTTATGTTTCTGTAGGTAAAGTTGGAAAGTCTACTGTATTAGAAATTATATGCGGATCTATCTATCTATCTATCTATCTATCTATCTATCTATCTATCTATCTATCTATCTATCTATCTATCTATCTATCTATCTATCTATATCTATATATATATATATATATATATATATATATATATATATATATATACATATTCACATACCAGGGTGCAAACCATCCAGTTTCATCATGTTCTAAACAATCAACATTGAACAATCTAGGGAATTTAGTCACCTGTGTCTGCTTTCCTGAAATGTTTATTGTATAGGCTTATGTTGCTTAAACTGTCTGGTTTTCTGCTTATTTTGGACATTTTCTAATTAATGATAGTGATTTAAAGATTAAATATAAAGATAATTTTAATAATCGGCTGCTAATAATGATAATTAAAGTAATAATGATACATTTTTATTTAAGAGCTAAATAAAAAAATAATTCATATATGTTGATGCATTGACATGTGCTAAATAAAGAAAATGTCTGTGCCACCCCAAAGTGACTGCTCCAAAAATCCCTCTGAAAAATTCCTGCCATCGCCACTGTATGACAGTGACCTACAAATTTAGAGATTATTGTGTAAAAAAAAACATCCCTGAGATTTTCAAGAGAGCACCGCCTCGTGTCCACTGCATCCTATTGCTTCCCGTAGTCTTTTGCTCCACCCCTTATAGTCTTAAATGTAATTTGTGATGACATATACGAAGAGAAGGGACCTCCGACTGAATACATAATTAAATGGAAACCGTAAAAAAAAAAAAAAAAAAAAAAAAATCTATGTATGCACATTAGTGAAAATATAAGTGTTCACACAACATCAATTGCACATACTGTAGGAGCAAATAGTGCAGTTTATTTAGGCTCTATATGTCAAAAACTATGACTATTTTCTATTAGCCTACATTACTTGGACTGTTGTCCAAGTGTTCATTAATAGCCTATTGTCGCTGCTTTTAGGATCAGAATATGCAGCACTCCTCTTGATTTTCTGCTTTTTTTTGGAAACTCATGAAATAAAAGCTGTTGTGCACTCTTTCCTAGACAGTTATTTCACCAGTGGCCTACTTAGTCTTTTGTTTAGCTGAATGCAGCAGAAGATCATGTGCATAAGAATTAATAGCCTACTGTTTAAGAGGATTTTGGCCAGATGGCATTTCTTTGTTTGGTTGTTTTGTTATCAAAAAACTTAAGGTGTGCACACCGACTGTGTAAATGTTTAAAATAAAAAAAAATAGTTTTGTGCTTTTACTAGATAATGTTTGTTTGACCCTGTTAAAATAAGTATTGTTTATTCTTTTCTTTTCCTCTCATTCGGAAAGGGAAGGGGGAGAGAGGCAGAGAGAGGGAAGAAGACGGGGAGAGAGCATGTGTGACCATTTACAGCTGGGACTATCTGTTTATGTCAACCTGACGGACAAGTGGCTGTTTTTCGTCGTCTCTTACGGATTCTCTCTCTGCCTGTAAACTAGTCTTCTCCAACCCTTTACACGAGATTCTCTTCAGCTGAGCACGTATCGTTTATGAACCAGTTATTTACGCGAAAATCGATCTGACAAAATATTTTAGGCTACACGTTTGAGGTGGACTGCTACCACTGTATTGGAGCAAGAGCGATCAGGCAAAGGGAAAATATTCTAAATACTCGTTAACAAATGGATGGGATGAAACCAGAATCGACGGCTGAGGAGAACCAAGATGAAAGGGATGAAAGCAAAGGTTTGTAACTGTGTAATCGATTTGCTTTGTACTTCAACTCGGATTTATGCTGCTTATTCGTCTAGATGCTTAGAGAACGGCTTAACCTATATGCGAAAGCTTCGCGCTCATTTCGTTTTGAATGTGAATCGATCGAAAATTTATTTCTTTAAAGTGTTTATAATACTCGTTGCAGTATTGTTGTGATTTACTCCGTTCGATTCGAGAGAACGCATTTGATGCATATAGCTACATTTAGAGCGCTAGTGTCAAATCTCTGCGTCTTTAGGGAACCGTGAGTGAAGTGGTGATTGAATGAGTACTGCTTGTTAATTTTGCTCCGCAATACAAAACACACACAGGCTCTTTGTTTGGACCATGCGGATTCATCAGTGACACTATATTTTATTATTTAAATGTTGTTTTAGTGTCGAGTATGTTGACGGTGAGGTGGAGTGTCGCATTTGAAGGTTTACATTGCTGTAGATTCTTTCTAAAACCATTGGACGAATACTCGTGGTAATTTTAAAATATAGCTTACATTTTATGAATTCCTGTGCTAAATAACATTTCACGATATTAACATTCTATCAAGAATAGGCTATTGGCATTCTTGAGACATGATAAAACAGGTCCACGAAATATATGCTTTTAGGATTAACATAATTAATATATTCATTATACATCTATACATCAAATAAATTCAACATTAACGAGAGAGAGAGAGAGAGAGAGAGAGAGAGATTAATAATACAATGTATTTAACACAACTATTCCTTTTAACTAAACTTTACCAGGAATTTTGAATTGAACAAATTTATGACATATTGCCTTTTCGCCACATCGAAATGAGTGCATTCACAGAGAAATCAAGTAAATCCATATGCAATTAAATATAAAAAAAAAAAAAATTAATTATTGAAAAAACAAGAGAAACACTTGATTAGTTTTTTTGTTGTTCAATGAGACATGCATGATTTTTACGATTTTAAAGGCGTGTCCCCATTTTATATCAACACTATATTACTACTATATTATATTATTTTATATAATACACTATAATTGACATATAATAAAGTGGCACTAAAGAGTTGAACGTTACTAGTTTACTACAAATTCAGGTTTTTGTCACCAGTCAGATGTGTCAACTCTTTCAGCATTGTTATCTCTCAGATTAATATTTTGATAATAATGTGAATCTGATGATGTGCAGATGCAGGCTATTTGCTTCTGATGATATTCAGGATTGTCTGAACAAGGTTTGGGTAGTGGGTAGCACGATCGCCTCACAGCACGAAGGTCCCTGGTTTGAGCCTCGGCTTGGTCAGTTGGCATTCTGTGTGGAGTTTGCATGTTCTCCGCTTACTTGCGTGGGTTTTTTCCGGATGCTCCGGTTTCCCCCACAGTTCAAAAACATACGCTATAGGTGAATTGGGTAAGCTAAACTGGCCGTAGTGTATGTGTGTAAATGCAAGATTGTATGGGTGTTTCCCAGTGTTGGGTTGTGTCTGAAAAGGTATCTGCTGTGTAAAACATGCTGGATGCTGGATAAGTTGAGGGTTTATTCTGCTGTGGCGACAGCTAATTAATCAAGGGACTAAGCCAAAAAGAAAATGAGTAAATGAATGAACAAAATTTTTGAGGTTCTTTTTCATGCTTTTAAACTGTTTTAATTGCCTACTGGACTAATAGTGTGTGTTGACTGTTATGGATTGTGGATGATGTGTTGTGGATTGTACATGGATATACATGGTGCCAAGCTCACTTACTGGTACTATTATGTTCTCCTGTCGGGCTATCAAAAATGAATCCAACCTGCCAATCAGGTGGGAGGAAAATATATCTTATTTCAATACTTTTGATTTTGCAACATAAATTGGGAAATTATGTTCTTTGTCATTTTAATGCATCGAGAAGCCACTTACATTATGTTCTTGAATTTGCATTTGCACTTACTGGTCTTATCAAAAGAACTGGTACTTTGTTACTAGGTTAAATAAAGACAGATCTAAATCATATAATTTTGCAAACCCTGATACAGATTGGATTGTGTAGTAAACTCAGGTTCTTTTCAAGCACCAATACAATTGTAATACAAATGCACGTGTTCAAGAACAATTGTGTTTTATCAGCTGTATTGAACTGCTGATTATTAATGAATGATGTCTATTGACAATGATTGTTGTTAAATGTATCACTAAGTGTAACAAATACTGACCTCCACACACTGAATCCATTGTGAATTATATTGCTTTTTAAATTGGGCATCATTACATTGTAGGCACAAACATTTATTTTTCTATAATGCCCTCTTTGGTTTGTCTTCTACATACCTTCAAAATATACTGCAGAATCATGTTAGAACATACACAACTATTTCATCTTATCATATTCATAAAAATTTTTATTATATTTTTAAAGTAGATACATGTTTCAATTCTCAATTTTTTTTTCTGATTGTAAATGGTTTATCTATATATTAATTTCCTTTGTTTTGATGAGTTATATGTCTCCAATGATGTATTTAGTAATGTATGCCTTTAAAAGAATTAATATTCTGGCGGTAAATAAAGTAATTCCACTGTTTATAAATTAAAGTTATTGTTAGATGTCAGGAAAGAATATGCATAGGCATGGCCCTATTGTATAAAGGCAATTAATTCCGGCTTATGTGCAGTGTTTATTTTCTACGGACTAGCTATTTTTGATATGTACAGCAGTTTTGAGGAACTTGCTAAATAATTCAGAACACATTGGTTTGGTCTTTGAAATGATGTAGTAATTTTAAAACTCCCATTCTGAAACTCTTTAAACAAGTGAGTAAATGTCTGTTACCCACATTCCCTGAAGGAGGGAAGGGAGTCATTTGTCTACAGACACTTTGGGGAGTTTGCTAGATGACCTATCACTCTGAAGAGTAAAGTCACGTTCACACAAAAGGCTGATTTATACTTCTGCGTCAAACGGCGTCACTGACGTGCACCTCTCAAAAAATGTAACTACACCTCGCAACGACGCGTAGCGCAAGCTCTGTGATTGGTCGGCTTGGTAGCGCTGACGAGTCTGGAAGGGACCGAGAGCCACGTGAATGGTGCAAGCCTGATGGAGCGATTGTTTACAAGTGTGGAGTCCCGTGAAGGAGCTCCGAATAGAAATTTTTGTTTTGTGTTTACCTCATAGTTAAAGTTATTGCACGTCCGCCGGTTCCTGCCTCAAAATGAGCGAGTTTGAGCCACTTGTACATCCCGGAAGTGTTCAGGAAAAGCAACACAGAAGCGAAGAAACTCGACACAGAGGAACATTTACACCTTACTGCCAACTAGCGTTTCCGAAGTGTTAATGCAGACCAACAGAGACAGCGCGCAGAAGTATAAATGGACAGCTACGCGCGTTGCATGTGCCGAGGGTTACGCCGGTCACTTTACACAGAAGTATAAACCAGGCTTAAAGATTGAGAGTGCAAAATTTTGTTGGACAGCTCTGTGAAAAGGGGCAGTATTAAACAAGATAATTAAACTTTTAAAAAAAAGCAAGTAATTAGTCAATATTGTAAATTTCTGCACAGAGAGGTTGTTTTGATCTTAGATTGGTCTTACGCAGCTACGTGATGCGATTTTGCTGGTCAAAGTTCAGCTTGAACTTTTCAATGCAGCGAACTAAAAAACTTGTCACAGGAGCTTGCGTTTCTGGTCTGTTACATTTGCATGCATATGAATGGAAGTCTATGGGGCGAAAAGTGCATTGTGACCACGGCTTTAGAAAACAGGCCAGTAAATGCCTATGAGTTGGTAGAGCACAGCTCCGCACGTGCTGGTGATTAATCATTATTAGAGTATATATCCAGGGCATGCTGAAGAAGCTGAACATACAGCTCTCAGCTGGAGACTTGGTTGCTGTGTCGAAGGAGACTTTCGTCACCATTCCCTCCTCTCCTTAAGAGAACGTGGACATAACCAGGACATTCCCTATTAGGTTAGGAACTTCAATGTGTGTCTATAGTCACTTTTTGGAGTGATTTTTTTTTTTATCTAGCCAACTGTTGTCTTGGGATTTTAGAAATATGACAGAACGTTGGTGAAGCATGCCAGTCCCGAAGGGGAAGGATGCTGCAGATGCCACCTGCTACAGTTATGGGGAGACCTGGTTAAAATAAAAGAATATATGCTCACCTTATACAAGGGGAATGCTACATGTAATAAGCTGGTTAGTGTGTAGGGAAGACTCAGGTCTGGGGGGCTGCTACAAATGATAAGCTTGTTAGCAGGTAGGGAAAACAGGTTTGCTTGAGAAGGGGGAGCACTCCATAACTGAATGACACATATGGGATCGTCAATGGGGATCTCGCATAGCTGGCACTGATCCCCTGCCTGGGAGCCATGGAAGAACTCTCTAGGGTTTGCCAGATAGGGAACTCGCAAAAGTAGAGCAAAATAAGAGCATGCATTTCTGGATTAGGGAGAATGGCACAGCAAGCATTTAGACATCAAGATTAGTTTCCTCCTGATTGACTAAAAATGCTGAGTAATCGGGTGTAAATTGTCTCCACTCGAAAATGATAAAATTTTGTGAATCTGTTAGATTTGCCCAGCCTGGAGTTCTACAGATGTCTGTTAGAGAGGCGCCATGTGCTAACCCCAAGAGGAGAAAATACTCCATGTTTAGTGCTCTCTCTCTCTTGGGGGACACAGCTCGCCTTGTCACTGATAAGCGAGGGTGATGGGATCAACTATCCAGTGGGCCAACCTTCTGCTGACCACAATTACAGACAAAGAGCTCCCCAGTAGATCTCATGTTCTGAGTGTGGTCCACATAAAAGCGCATAGCGTGAATCAAACACAGCATTGAACTTAATCTGCCTCCTCCATAGACAGTGCTTGAAGGTTCACCACTTAATTTCTAAAGAGGGAAGTGTGAACCTTGGGCATGTAGCTGGACTAAAAATAACGTGACAGTAAGCTGGCCCGAATTGCAAGCATTGACCAAAATTGCAGGCATTGACCATTGACCAAAAATGCCACTTG